AATGTGACTGGGTCATGGGTTTCCCCTATAGATATTTAGTCAAAAATTTTCCTGAGTGTTTGTATGAGGATGTTTTTGGATGAGATTAACATTTAAATCGATAGACTAAATAAAGCAGATTGCTCCCCCTTAACATGAGCTGGCCTGCATAGAACCAAAGGCTGACCCTACTCTTTTCCCTCAGTAAGAGAGAAATCTCTCGCCTGAGGGCCTGAAGACCTTCAAACTGCAATGTAGGTCTTCTTGGCTCTACAGCAGTTGGCTGGCCTTTGAGTTCAAGCTTGTATATGACATCGGGTCTGTGGATTTTGAATTTACCATCCTGCATAATCACATGAGCCAATTCTTTATAACGATCTCATTGTATACACATATCTTCTATAAGTTTTCTTTCTCTGGAGTCCCTTGACCAATACAAGCGATGAAATGAAATGGAAATTTAACTCATAGAGAAAACTGGCTACATATAATTTCTGGCCATGAAAGAGCTTGTTCATTGATTTTTATAATAAATAATGGTATCTTTGACACATTGTGGTGTATGGATTGTATTGAATGGATACATTTTAAATAGTGGAGTAAAAGTTTTACTCTGAAAAAGGGTTTCGCAAATGTTTTCTGTAAAGGACTTAATAACAAATATTTTAGATTTTGTGGGCCACACAGTCTCTATAGTAACTACTAAAGTCTGCTGCTGTAGCACAAAAGTAGCCAGAGAAAATATACAAATGGATTAATATTGCTGTCTTTCAATAAAACTTTATTTACAAAAATGTGGTGGGCCTGATTTGGCTGACCAAATCAGGAAGTCAGCTAGTTTGCTAGCTCCTGCTCTGTAAAATTGATACAATATTTACACAACAGTAAAAATTATATCTAACTTCTTAATCATATGATTAAAAACTTTAAGATATCAAATTGAAAATGTTTGAAGAAATACATGGTTTATCAGAAGTCTTTTAGGAGGCACATGAGCAATGAACCCTGCAGACTAGTGCCACTCGTGTGAAGACTGGGAAGGAGGACAGGAGAACCTAGGCAGGTGAGAAAGCAAGAAGGTACATCTAGGGAAAGGAGCAGCATGAACAAAAGCACAGAGGAAACAGCATGGTGTGTTCCTGCTCTTCCAATAGCTCAATGTTGTGAGAATACAACATACAACATAGGAAAGAGGAGAAGCTGGGCTGGCAGCCAAAGACCAAATAAAATACGTTTTTATATTTTCTACTCAGGCATTTGAAATTTATATTTTAGGTAGCCAGAAGTCATTGAAGAATTTTAAGCAACAGAGTAACATGACCTGAGGTTGTGAATATGCAAAATAGGTTTAGGAAGGCAGGACTAGAAAGAGGAAGATCATTTAGGAGACTATGGCTGAAGTAAATTGACAACTGGAAGCGATCTGAACTATAGAGTAAGATGAGGAATGGTTTCAGATAGATCTAAGAAATATACACGAAGTGATATTAACAGGCCATTGTCATTGATTGGTCATTGGGTAGATGATAGAGGAGGTAGAGGCCTCCATTGGTGATCTGGAAGAAGGTACTGACAAGGATTTTTCCGTTGGTGACAGGGTGAAATACGTTGTCATCAACTGAAATGCAGGCTTTAAGAAAAAACATGCATTGAATGATAGTGTTGAGGAAGTACACTTTCAGACTGGAATGGTAAAACATGAATTGGATATAAAGTCTTAAAGTCATTTAAGTGATCTTGACTAGGAAAATAGATTTTAGAGCGATTTTCCTACTGTTGGTCTTAGAGAATATGAAATTGGGCCCGTTTCTCCAGAGAGTGTGCAATATGAAAAGATCAGCTGTTGAGGATGAACCCTCCAGGAATATCAACATTTAAAAGGCAGGTGAAGAAAAACACATTAAGAAGAATGGGGTGGGGAGCAAAGATAGGAACCGGCTCAAGAGTATATCCTTTATTAATGTAAGTTAAAGAAAGTTTTCAAAACTAGATATGAATTATCAGAGTCAAATACAGTAGATAAGTGAAAAAAGGTAGAGTGGAAATATCCTTTGTATTTGAATCTCATCAAGCCAAATTTCAAAAAACAAATGAGAGCAAAAGCTAGTTTGCAATTGTATCATGGGTGTAAGAATTCAGAACTGGAAGAAGTTCAGATGAGAAGAGGAAGTAGGTAGGAGATTAAATAAATATTTAGGCTATAAAATCCATGCTCATGAGCTGAAGAAATGATCCTGGTTGGGAGGGGGGCGGGAAAGGTAGTCTAAAGGTAGAGAATCAGTAAAGAAATTGGGGAGCATTGTCTTGATGAGAAAAAGTGAAGGTAGATAAGGCAAGGGGGTGGAAAAGAAGTGATAAGAGAAGAATGGGATTGTAAAGTGAAGGGAGATTACATCTAAACATTCAAGGTTCTCATGGAAGAAGAAAGGGTCAATCTACAGAGAATGGCAAGGGACAGAAGTTGACTTAAGGCTTTGAGAAAAGTGGTGAAAATTGGAAATACACATTGAGGAAAATAGAGTTGGGCTAACCATGTGCGGTAGACACTGTTAGTGTTCAGCAAACATCCTCTACCTTGTCCTCTACATCGCCTGGGCATTCCTGTATCTGGTCTTATCTAAACTGAAGTGATGTGTCATATCTAATATAAGACAGTTTACAAGGGGTATGTCTACTCCATACTCTCTTGCTCCTGGCTATGAAACTCTTAAAGGCGATGTGTTCCAGAGTGGAATCGCTGTAAGTTGGAAGAGGGTTATCAAGTGTTATCGGAGTACAACATGAGCAGAAAATAAGCCTTATTGTTTTAGGTTACTGAGATTTGGAGATTTATTTGTTATGGCAGCATAGGTGAATCCACCATGAATAACAGAAAGGTTACCACCAGGATTACAGATAAGAATTTTTGGGACTAGTCTATATGGCTGAGTCATTTTAGCTCTCTGTCTCTGTAAGCTGAAGAAGTGCTGGGATTTACTGGTGGGTAGGACACACACACACACACACAGAGAGAGAGAGAGAGAGAGAGAGAATTAAGCATTAATAGGCTGGGATAAAAGAAAGTAACAGGGAATAGGGGTCTCTTTTAGATTGAAAAGCAGGTATGTGAGGGGAGTTGGAGTGAGACTGAAGAATGGAAAATTATACTCAAAAAGTGGAAAGTTACATTTGTGATTTTCAAGGTAGAGTGTTTCCTGGTGATGGTTAAGTTCATGGATTTTCCCTTGGAACTGTAGCTGATGTGGAATGGACATGACAGTTAGGGTGCTCCAGAATTTTCAGGGAAATTGTTGCATGACTCATCTACATACATATTGAAACAATATGAGAAAACTGAAGTTCTGATTATTTGCTCAAAATTAATTATCCAATCACTAAAATAAAATACAAAAGTCATTGTTAAAGCATTTGCTTGTTTATATTTCTTGTCATATAATGCTTTTATTAGAGGAAATGAAAATGTCTCAGAATTTTTTATGAAGTAACACTACCTACCATAAGGCATGTAGAAGTGACTGCTGTTTGTCAAGCTGTACGATTTTAAGATGACAATTAAATTAATGTATATATTTGAATTCCTACATTTGGCTTCTACTAAAGTTGAATAAGAAGGAGATAATATGGTGGACTTAACATGTGAATTTAAATTTGCATTTTATTTTCAAGCAAGATTAGACTGAATTGTAATGTTATCACTGTATAAAATAATTAAGTGCAAAAGAAAGTTTATTGACAATCTGTTTGATTTTATATACTGCCAAGCTTTTGTATTTGGCCACTAAATAGTTCACTTTATGAGCTGACTTAGACATTATTTTTAACTGAATGTTTAAATGTAGTTTGTGATCTTTAAAGAGTATTCTATTTTTGATGCACAACTGTAATATGATGATGATAAGTTTTAGTAGATAAACCTTGACATTGAGAGAGGTATCTTAATGCCCACTTTTAAAGATATACAAATTAGTATGGGAAAAGAAGCAATTTTAATGCAGAAGTAGGTTATAAAACCTGTCAAATTTGTTTAATAAGTTTGGTTTGAGTGAGTCAGTGCCTGGACAACATAACGAAAGAGTTAGGCTAATTAAGGATTGCAGCTAGAACATCCTGAGAGAGGGCTCTGAGAGCAGGCCATGATGAATTAGACTTGCCTTGTCACCTTTTTTGCAACCTACCCCAACAAAATAACTTTGCCAACTCTACCAGTTTTGCATTGCTTCCACAGCAAATTACTGCAAACTTAGTGTCTTAAAAACAACACAAATTTATATCCTAGTTTTGTAGGGCAGAAGTCTGACATAGGTCTTAGTGGGCTAAAATCAATGTGTCAGCAGGACTGCAATCCTTCCATAAGCTGTTTCCTCATGTTTTTGGTTTTCTGGAAGCCACCCACATTTGCTCATGGGGCCCTTCCTCCATTTCAGAGTCAGAAATAATAGATCATGTTCTCACCCTGCATCCCCCTGACCACCTCTGCTCCCAGCTTCTACCTTTAAGGACCCTTGTGATGACATTGGGACCAGCTTCATTTCTCCAAGTGTCCTCCTCTCATACCTCTCCGTGCACATCAAGCTGCTCACACTTTGTGCTTTTGCACGTGCTGTTTGATTATGAAACTCCATGACCCTCCTCCTCACGATTCACTTGACTGACCATTCAACGCTCAGTTCTGGTGGCTCTTCCTTCAGAAAGCCTTTCTCCATCTACTGGCCTACTGCCCCTCCCAAGGTAAGTACCCAAGCAATTTTCTCCAATAGCGTTTTATTCTTCTCTGAGTTTAACTCTGAGTTTTTAAGGATTAGAATCATCTGTAATTCATATTTATAAGCCCAGCATCTAATACACTGTCTGCCTTTTAGCAGGGTGTTTTTCAACCTAGATCACACAATCCATTAGCGGGTGGGTCATGGAAAAAGATTGCGTTTGACCATTATTTATTTTTAATAATATAGAGAAGAGAATACAAAATATGAGTATAAGAGATAAGGTTATTGTTTTGTAAAAATTTGCTTCAGTCATAACTGTGATTGTGTTGCCATGTAAAATGTACACCTTATCACTTTTCTCTGGTCATGATAAAAGACAAACTTAAAAGCTACTACCTTGGTAATATGCAATAAATAACTGTGGAATGAATTATGCACAAATAATTACATAGCTGATGCCAATACAGTATACCTTGTGTCTCTACAGATTTCTGGAAACTCCTCTCAATAATGAGCCTGAACCAGATTGTTCTGATCTTCCCTTTATCTGGGTGCATGCCTCAAGCCAGTAGGGAAGGTTCCCGGCAAGTTAGATGCTCCCATCTCTACTTAGTGGCTACCAAGAGGCTTATCCCAAGAAAAGCTGGGAAAGTCCATCTTAGGAACCTTGTCACTGATTTTTGTTTCCCAAGAATCATTGGTAAAGAACATCCCACCTCACACCACAACCTAGCTAATGACTAGCAGAATGACTAGTGTCCATCCCTCAGCCCTGGGGACTACTCTGATGCGGCAGAGGCTGCAGAAACCCTGCTGACCAGGCATGGAAGCCCATTCCCTTCACCCAACAATGCTGGCACAATTCACCCAAGCTGTGAAGTGATCCCTGTCTCAGATAAGTGAACTAAAAACATTAATTTAAAAAAGAGAAAGAGGTCATTTCATTATTTCTGGAGGCAAGCTCAAACTGAAGGAGTAAAGAGTCCTAGAATCAAATTTCTATTTCTTTAATCAGAACATCCTCCCGCTACTATGGCTAACTTTATTTCCATGTGTTTGTTTATTTGTCATTTTTCCATGTGTTTATTTGTCACTTTTCGATGTGTTTGTCTATTTGTCATTTTTCCAGAAGTACTTGAGGTAATATAACCTCTCTGAGATCCAGTGATGTGAAGGCAGAGGAAAAAAAGAAAGAAAAAAATTAAACAAAAAAAAAATTGAACTTTTTCATGATGTGTCAAGAGAAAGCAGATATACCCACCCTCTGCCTAATCATTGTGGTGAAGTTTTTGGAATTTAATGGTGGAGGTTGCAATAGAAAGGATGAAATGTATTTCATTATCAAAAAACTCTGGGAAAATAATTTTTCAGCAATGTGAGTACTCTCTCTGTGTAACTACCACAGTGGGCAGAAGTTGGTCATTCTGTACCTGGTTAGAACTATTTCCTGTTAGTCTCCCTTCATTTAAAGGATATAAAATCTGCTTCTGTGTCAGATACAGAGTACCTGTGAATATAAAAGCAACAGAATAGTTTTCGTCTTACATCTCCGCTTATAAATAATGAGGTTTGTTTTGAATTTTATTTTTCTTCTTTGTAGTTAAGAGCAGATGCTGAAAACTGACTGCATTTGTTGGGGTTGCTCAGCAAGAAAGTGGGGGGCAGTGAGTGACTCACCAAAACTGAGGGATAGAGAAAGGACAATAGAATAACAACAGAGAAAAAGACGAAGACAGCAAGGTAAGACACAAGATGGTTCTTAAAGTAAAATCTAGTTTGGACGTTTGGCTGAAAATTAATTTACAGTGAAGAGCATAGAAGGGATATAAAATTGGAATAGAGAAAAGAATGTCAAGAACTAAGCAAAAACCACTAATGTTTGATGACCTGTCAACTCTCAAATGAAAAGCAGGTGTCCTGTCTCCTAACCCAATCCTGCAAAGACTCAGAGCTTCCAAAGGGACAGGAAAGTCAGGCTTCGATTACAGCTAAAATATGCCTATATCACATTGGATGTATGCATTTTCTACTTTTGTTTTGAAGTCACTCTGACTACATCTGTGAAGGATTTGAGCCAACTTTGCTTCTCAAATGAGTTTTCTTTGATACATCTCTAAACACTAAAAAACTTTGTGTTAATGTACTGCAACTTGTATAGGCCAAAGAGTTTTAGATTGATTACCATTTTAGAATAGTAACTCATAACCATGAGAACTGGGCTAAATGTTATTCTTTTACATTTTTATAAAATATTTAAATATTAACAAAGACCAAAAAGAAAATTTCTATAAATTCTGTGGGTTACTTAGATTGTCATTAAAAACTGTGAGTTGGGGTGACGAAGAGATTGAATTTAAGCATGACCCTATATTTGCAGACAGAAACAAACGTAATTGAGAAATACATTTGTAACTGTTGTAATCCAAATACAATATATTAGCATTAGTCTTTACTTTGTAAATAGTAGAGCTTTAGAAATGATTCCAAAATTGTAAATATAGTAATATTAAGTTCTCTGAAATATGGATTTTTAATTAAATAAAAAGAAAATGGAAAGATTATTTTTATTAGTAAGACTTTACAGCTCTGGAGTTTGGTTATCTTTAAAAACATTTTGTGGTTATTTGTAAGTCTGTGTTTCTTTCTGTCTATCAACTGGTTACTATCCAAAATTACATAGTGTCTCCTACTTTGTCCTCGTCTCTAATTACAATTTAATTCACATTTTATAACTTTTATGGTAGACTAGAGATTCTGGTTCTCCTTCTGAGATGCAGCACTAGTATGAGAAACTGTCACTTTGTACCAGAACTTTAAACTATACCATTTGAAAATCAACAGAGAGTAGAAATCTAATTAGCCAGGACCCCTGTGGCCAGAGCTGCTGTATACCCCGGAGCCTCCTCCTGGCTCCTCCTGGCGAGGTGCTGAATGAAAGGAGTCAGAGATCAAGGCACAGCTGGGAAAGGTTAGCTCTGTCCACAGAGTGTCTTCCTGGAGTGAGCAGACCCCTGACCAAGAGAGGGTTGATGGAAGCATGTTGTGGAGCTTTCTCGGGACATCAGGGTCACGTATATGGTACAGATCCCATAGCACCTGTGACAGCATCAGTCTACCCTTTCCATATTAAAATAAACAACTCTAGCTTCCCCTCACTCTTTCAGTTTGGGAAGAGCAATAATGGAATAATTGTGCTTTTTTCCTGAATATCAGATGATTTTATTTTTAAAATACATAGATGTGTGTGTGTGTGTGTGTGTGCACATATATATAAAATGCTCATAGTGAACACACTGATTCATTTTATAGAACTCAAGGAAACCAGCAGTCAGAAAGTTTTTCTGCAGAATATTATGGCTTGGAACAGTCGAGAAAAAGAATCATAGCATATTGATTATGGTACATCAGAATCATAACATGAAAAATCAGAAAAACAGGCTTTTTATTTTTTTCCAAGAAATTTTATATCTTCTGAAATGTGTATATAAAATATACATCTATATTTCTATGTGTTAAAAAGGTAAACTGAAGCACAATGGTGAATGCAAGGGGTAGGTTTTCTCAGAAAGAACACAGCAAAGAAAATATTGATTGGTTATAGTTATACAGTTGCCTTATTTGGTCTATCCCATTGAAAAGCCTCCAGTTATATATACTTACATAAGTTTACTGGTGGATTCTGACTGGTTGAACTTAAGTTCTGTTTTTCCTTAATATAGGTGCTTACTAGAAATAGATCAAGTTAAGTTTTGCTTACGTTTGCAAATCAAGCAAGGTTTAGGCCAGTCAGGAGACATAATTGGCTTGGCTTACTAAGGGTTTCTTCAGGCTTAGTCTCCATTTTAATTTCCTTTAACATGTATATATACATATACACACACACACTTAATTTATATATAAATGTATATACATGTGTGTGTGTATATATATACACATATATATGTATTTTTTTAAATGGAGAAATGGTCATTTGTAAGTTTGGGTATCTTGTTTTAGTGGATAGGTTTTCAGCCTTCTTTCCTGTTTGGCAGGAGCTTCCTACTGCATGTCGTCTTGTTGAAAGGCAATGGTCTGCCTCTTGCTACCAACCCCAGCAGGGTGAGAACTTCTCCTGCTCTGTCCCGGTAGGCAGTGTGTATACATGTGACTTTGCATCAGCTCATCGGATGCCCCAAACCAGATCTTTGTCTCTGAAGTGAAGATTACAAAGAATGAAAAACAGCAAGAATTCTTTCAAGGCTGCAGAGGAGACTATGTCCTAAAGCCTCAGAAGACCTGGTCTGTTTCTGCTAAAAAAAAAAATACACGTTGTGCTTCTGGCTTTTTGGCTGTAAGAATCTATCTTGATGCCAGGCCTGGTTCTCAGCTGCTCATTGCCTCTGTGACCCTACATACCTTTCTAATAATTCATAACTTTTGCTTAAGCAAATTAGAGTAAGTTTCCATTTTTTGTAACCAATTGCATTGTAAAAGATGCAAATATTGAGAAGAGACTCAGTCTCAGTCCTGCCATTCAAGATCTTCTCTCCCCAAAATAAATTCTGAAAGTTATCAAATTGGCAGTTTTATGTAATAGGAGTTACAGCATTAGATAATAATAATTCCTCTGCCTCAAAACAAGTTGTCCCAAAGTAATAAAATGTACTAAGTTCTGTGATCTTGAAATTAGGAGGAAGTAAAAACTTGTTCCTTCTTATATCTGGAACCTAGAACTCTAATATTTATTTGTTTTAAAAAGGTCACTATCATAAATGTTCTCAATAAAAATATTAAATGATATTGTAGTATGAACATTTTTTATGGAAGGACACAGCAGCAGCCCTAAGGGATGGACTATTTTTTATAAATTATGTTAAAAAGCTAACTTACTATTGAGCTGATATTTTTTGCCTATTAGAGCATTTCAACTACCTTCAAAATCATATGGCATATCCAAGCTAAATCACAGGGTGTTCATCAGTGGTAATCACTAAATCCTCTAGAAATTATAATACTCCCCAATACAATGGATGGATGTATTCTAACATTAGGAATTATTTCTATGTTTTAAGTTATCATGGGATACAAAAAGGTATTTGGTAGACTCTTTTAAAATAACAGTTTTATTTTTACAATATTTTAGGGAAAATTTAGCATATGATGAAATATTTTAAATTACTTAAATGAATATGATTGAGGAAGAGCATAAGAGAATAAGTTAAAGTCATCCTAGCCAAAGTTCTTGGTCAGGAATTTTACATGATGATATTAAAAATAATATTTTTAAACAATCCAATCAACAGAATCATGAAACTTTTTGCAGTTAACAGCTATAAACACCTGCTGGCATGCACAGATAACCTCCTAACAAGTTCATTTAGGAGGATTTACTGAAATCCAAGATGATAGTAACAATTGAAAAAAAATGAGCTGACTTCCTCTGAAACTCAGAACTACTATGTAATACCTTTATCAATAGTTCGTTTGTTAAAAAATTATCAAGACCATCCTGTTTCCGGCTGGGCGCGGTGGCTCATACCTGTAATCCCAGCACTTTGGGAGGCTGAGGTGGGTGGATCATGAGGCCAAGATATCGAGACCATCCTGGCAAACATGGTGAATCCCCGACTCTACTAAAAATACAAAAATTAGCTGGGCATGGTGGCGTGCACCTGTAGCCTGTAATCCTAGCTACTCGGGAGGCTGAGGCAGGAGAATCTCTTGAACTCTGAAGGTGGAGGTTGCAGTGAGCCAAGATCGTGCCACTGCACTCCAGTCTGGTGACAGAGTGAGACTCCATTCCCCTGACACCAAAAACAAACAAACAAAAAAAAACAAACAAAAAAAGACTATCCTGTTTTCCTAAAAGACATTCCCTCGGGTAAGTCTTCTTAGCAGTTAGAATAGGACAAGCCAATAGCATCTCCATAAGGAAGTCTCAAGGAAAACTTCCAAATCTCAGGAATATAGAATAGATTGAACAAATGTGTGGAGGACTTGAATCAGAAATTCATGATAATAACACTTACTCCTTTCATGTGTCTAAAAGCTCTGAAAGAGAAGATAATGGATGTACTATAGAACATTTACACTTTAAACTATACAAAGTTCTATAGGGAATATCAAACAATGGCCTTTGCTGATAAAAAGAGCAAGCAAAACGAGATATATGAATGGATAACCAATAATATATTACTACAATTTTATTTGCCAGGATGGGCTAACGTAGGTTTTGACAGACATAATAAGTTTGCGAAGTCTCTAAAAGAGACATAACAATTTAAAAATGTGCAAAAGAGATATTGAAGTTCTTAAAAGAGATACAAGAAGAAACATATAGTACCCCAAGTATAATGATCACTATTAGTTGAAGCATGCATCGTCTCTTCTTGTTGGTACCATCTAAAGACTTCTAGGTTTAAGTTGTTTAGGGCTTCAAAAGACTCTAACATGTTCTACTTGTTTTTCATATACCACACTGATTAAATCTAACAACCGGTACTAGCATTTAAGCAGATGAATTTGATGGTGAGAATTACACAACCAGGACCACTGATTTTCTTTTAAAATTAGGATCAAGAAATTTCAATGGATATTTACTGTTGTCGATAATTCTACATACTTTCCAAGCAAAGTCATTTTGCCACTTTCCTGTATACTTATTTCACATCTTTTTTTGTTAACTCTTGCATATGGCATAGAGGTTAAAATTGCAGGCTCTATAAGTTACCTAAGAGGTAGAGCAATTGGATCTCTTATACTTTGCAGGTGGAAGTATAATGAGCTCAGAATTGCTTGGCTGTATCTACTAACGCAATTCCACTTCTAGGCACGTTCCCAAAAAATACATACATACGCGTGTGTGTGTGTGTGTGTGTATAACAAAGTACATGTGCAAGAACAGTCATAGATGTTTTACTTATAATGGCCAAAAACTGGAAAACAATTCAAATGTCCATCAATGGCAAAGCAAAAAATATGTGGTATAGTTAGACAATGGCATTCCACAGAGAAAAAAAAAAATGGTGGGTGCATGCACCAACATGGATCAAAGCCAGATGCAAAGGGAGCATAACATATGATTTCATTTGTGTGCAGTTCCAAAATCAGGAAAAACTTACCAGTGGTAATAGAAGCCAGGATGGTGACAGACTTCTGAGTGAATGGTTACTGACTGGGAAGGAGTACACTGAAACCCTGTGGGGTGCTGGAATTATTATTATGATTTTTTTTATCTAGATGGTAGCAACATGGAACCGTGAATGTGTAAAAATTCATCGAGCTATACATTGATTGGTGCATTTTTGTATTATCTATATGTATTTTAATGTTTTTTAATTTTGAAAGATGTATAGATTCACAGGAGATTGCAAAAATGTACTGGGAAATCCTATGCATTCCTCCCACAGCTTCCCCCTAAATATAACATCCTATACACACATGTTAAAATAGCAAAACCAATATACTGAGATTTATATGATATATACAGTTTATTCAGATTTTTAGGTTACACGTACACTCTTTCATGTACATAGTTTTATGCAATTTTATCACATATGTAGCCTTATGTAACTACCATAGCAATCAAGATACTCAACTGTTATATCACCATAAGATTATCTTGATAGTCATGCATCCATCTTCCTCATCCCTAGCTCCTGGCAAACACTAATCTTCTCTCCATCTCTTGATTATGTTCTTTCACAAATGTAATATAATGGAAGCAAGTAGTTTGTATCTTTTTGAGACTGGCTTTTTTCACTCAGCATAATTCCTTGATGTTTATCCAAATTGTTGTGCGTATCAACAGTCTGCTCCTTTTTATTGATGAATAATATTTCATGATGTGGATATACCATAGTTTATTTAACCATTTACCCATTAAAAAACATTTGGGTGGTTTCCAGCTTAGGGCTATTATGAATAATGGTGCTATGAACACTCATGTGCACATTCTTGCTCAGAAATAAGTCTTCCTTTATCAGGAATAAATGGCTAAAAGTACTATTTTGGGGTTGTATGGTATGTTTATTTTTTAATTCTTAAAGGAGCTGCCAAATTATTTTCTAGAGTGGCTGTACTATGTTACATTCCCATCAGCAATGCATGAATAATCCAGGTTCTCTGAACCTCACCAGCATTTAGTGTTATCATTCTTTTTATCCATTTTGCCCATTCTGGTAAGTGTGTAGTGATAGCTCATTGTGATTTTAGCGTATATTTCTCTAATAGCTAATGATATTGAACATCTTCTAATGTGCTTATTTTCTATTTGTATATCTTTTTTGGTTATACATTATATGTGATTTCTATCAACACAAATGTAAAAAACATCACCCTTAAGAAAACTATTGTAGGCTGTGATGACTCCTTTAGTGTGAATCCCACCTGTGTGGCTTATCGTCTTTGTAACCTTAGGGAAGTCACTTAAACTTTCTCTTCTTCAGTTTTCTTCTCTATAGAATGGTCTAATTAAGATGTTGGGGGTATTTAATATATTTGTACACTTAAAGTCCATAAAATTGTGTCTGGGAGATAATCAGAATAAATGATATGTTAACAAAAACAAACCTTTCCAAAATCTTCTGTTTGTCTCCTCATTCTCAGTTGCTAGCTCATCTTGAACAAAGAATTATAAGACATTAATCTAAGTATATTAGCTCTATTAATTCAATAAGTCCTTACAACAACCTTGCAAGGTAGCCCTACATTTAAAAGATGAGGAAATTAAGCCACAGAGGGATCAAGTAGCTTGCTCTAGATTAGAAAGCTCTTAGAGGCCAGGCTAAGGAACTGAACCTAGGCAGTCTGCCCTGGAGCAGTGCTCTGAACCAGGAAGTAAGCAAATGGGATTGGACTCATTTTACCACTATAAATCCACTCATTTGCCTCTGAACTCCTTTACTTGACATTTCTTCCTTTCACAGGAAAATAAGAGTGTATATTCATTCATCTAAGGTCAGTCACTACAACTGTGCTTGCATCCTATCTCAGTAACTTGTTCACAAATTTTACTTCTGTTATCTCACTTCTCTTCTGCACCCTCAATTTTCCCTCAACCTGTATTGCTTTTATTGATATAGCAACATGTATTAACATTGCATCTCTTCCACACTTGTGATGACTTTGTATTCCTCTACAGTTGTCAGAGTTCTCTCTTCAGTTCGCAGCAAAATTCATTTAATGAGTTATCTTTAAACTCATCTGTGGGATCCACTTATTTATCTGTGGGATCCACTTATTTATCTGCTTTTACTTTTAAGGAATTCCAAAGAGGCTTTCTCCCACAACTTACTAGAAGATCTCTTACTACATTATCAAGTCACAAGAAACTTCACTTTTTTCTTGCCTTTTAAATTATTAATTCCACCCTCTCTCTCAAAAAAAACTTTAACTTTATATTACCATTTGGTTGCTTAATTCCCCTTAGCCTCTTGGCTATTGCTGTATATTTTTCTTTCTGAGTCTTTCTTTCTGGACCAATATCTTAATGAAAGCATGGCTTCTATCTCAGTTCTCATCTGTCTTTTCTTTCCTGGTCTTCCTTTCCCTAGATGGGCTTATCCAGACCTATGGCTTTAAGTACATCTATATACTAATGATGTTTTAATTCACATCTCCAGCTATGACCACTCTACTGAGATTTTGAGTTTTATGTCCATCTGCCTACTTGACAGCTGCACTTAAATATCTTATTGGCTTCTTGACTTTGACATTGTTGTTCAAAACTCATCACTTGATTCCTGTCTGCCTAATACTCCAAACCTAACTCTCCTTTAGTCTTCCTAACCTTAGTGA